GGGTTTTGGGGGACAAACTGGGGATGGGGGGGCACTCATCTTGTCCTTGCAGAAGCAGCCCTGCCTGCCGGGCCTCCCTGACCGCCCTCATCTCATTCTGAGTTCACTCAAACTGGATTTAAAATTCACTTTGCAAAGGCAATCGGTGTATCTGGAGACATTTATGTCATAAATGTCATAAAGCTGTAAAGTGCAAAATTGTGCTTAGAGAAGTGAACTTCACCTGGTTTGAGAAAGCGCAGTAATTTGTTTTAGACGCCTCAGTTTCCCCATCTGTGAAAGAGGGACAAGGTTATATGCAGTAACATTTGAAGGCCCAAGGGTGGTGGGGCTGGTTGTCCTGCCTGGTGCACACTGTAGACCCAGTGGAGGCTGGTGGGTGTGGGCACAGCAAGGGGACATCACTAGGCTCTGATGGGGACTGGTGCCATGGTGTGGCGATGGCTTTGGGTTTCTTCCATTGCTTTCCCTTGCTTTCCAGTTTCTGCAGGAACAGCTTCTAGCCCTTGGGTCCTCAGGGTGCACCCTGCTGGCACCCCCACTTGTCAGAGCCTACGCGTGCACACCTTGCTCCCTGGAGTAAGACATTGCCCTCCTGTGCAGGGTGAGAGAGAGTGTGCTTTGCCTTCATTCTACAGGGTCCTCCCCGCCCTCGCTCCCGTCAAAGCTCCCCTATCTCCAGCTGGAACACGTGCTCTTTTAATGCCAGGTTGGGGAAAACCTCCCTTGTAGCTAGTAATACAAGCCCCTAAAGGGAATCTGAGGAGGCTTGATTGAGAAGTCTGGAGGTAAGGTGATCTGACTGCCCTTCCCCCATCACACAGCCTTTTCAGTCTTCTGTCCCACATTTTGTTGCAAGATTAGCACATAGCAAAGGAGCATTAAGGAGCCATGTGTTAGCTCAGGAGTGGAACTGAGACCCACTGGTACTGGCTTCAGTTTTCAGCACTGTTGGATGTGGTCACTGCCGTGGTCAGCAGAACAAATGGCAGGGGCCTCCCAGAGTGATAGCTGCCAAGGTATTGGCGCCGGACCAGTTAGATGTCTCTTTTCCTTCCTTCTCCATACAGAGATGGTCGTCTGCTCCTTCCTGTCAAGTGGCATTAATGTTGCTCGGTGCAGTGAAAAGGTGATGGCTTTCTGCTCCGGTTCTCTCTAAGCTAAGATCAGCTCCTGAGGGGAACTCGGAAACCAGAGCAGCTCGAATACTCTTCTTTCATGCTTGCTGGGGTGGCCTGAGGCTTATAGGGCAGTGAGGTGTAGTCCCAGCCCTTGGTGGTATTCCTGCCCTGCTTGTGTGTGGTGACACCTCTCTGTACTAAAGCAGCTTGGAAACTTGAGAGCTAGTGAGTCCCAAGAGGAAGCCAGCCTCCAGCTTTTTTTTCCCACCCTCAGTGCAGCTGCAGCTTCTTGGCACACCAGGGCAGAATGTCACTACCTGTGTCCAGTGAAACTCAGCCAGGGAGGCAAGCTGCAGGGAGGACATGCGAGGAGCCCGCTAGTGCTGTGTCTGGAGGGTTGACAGCCTCGTGTGGAATCTTTAAAAAGGCACCAAATTTAGGCTCATCACCCAGGTGAGGGGAGGAACCAACACTTCGTAAGTAGGGAGTTTAAGGTTCCTATTTGGACACTGTGTCTTAAGCAAGTAATGTAGAGTTTGGGCTGTAAAGTTGGACTCCCTGGGTTCAGGTCCTGGATCTAACACAGACTAACTTTTTGTCCTTGAGCAGAATGATGATGCTTCCCACCTCCTAGGACTGCAGTGTTAAGTGAGTTACTATGCCTAGTGCAGAGCAGGTTACTCTGTGAGTGCTAGCGATTGTCAGTAACATCTCATGTTGCGGTCCGTTGTTTAAAGGACAGTAGAGATGATGCCTTCTTGGACCTGATGGAAGCAGCCACTAGTAAACAACCCACGTGTCCATTTATGTAAACCAAGCCGAATGGCAGTTTACAAAAGCTGGGCTGGGAGTCCTTAACCCCGCCCCTTATAAAAGGCTCTTCAGGTCACCCCTGTTCCTCCCAGTCTCACTTCCTACACGAGGAGGCTTGGTGATGAGGAGACGGCTGTCTCTTCACCGCATCAGGCGTCAGTTTTCGTTGGACTCTTTAGATTCTTCATGCCATGATGAATTGTTTCCAGGTAGGTCTTCTGTGGGTCTCTCCTCACTGTTTAGCTTCTCTCTGGGGCTCTTATGGAGCCTTCTCTCTCCTAACTCTATTGGGTGTCAGCTGGTTTGAGTAGTTGTAGTCAGATTGCCTTTTTTTTTTTTTTTTT